GGGGAAGGTGTGTGCTGCAATAAAGCATTGTGTACAGCTTTGGTGGTGTGTCCAGTCCTCGGAAAGCAAAGCACCCTCACGCTGTTATACGCTTGTAATCCAGTGGAGAAGGTCGCCTTATGAAAACGTTATTGATCTCTGTGGTCTGTTCTTGAAATGGTACTGCCCTTTGCATTCAGATGAATTGGTACTGTTTGACTTAATTAAGTCACTTGGCAATTAGAGAGCCTTCAAACCCAATAAGCAAATACATTTGGATAGTGTGCTTCTAATCAGCTGAAATGGATATGATTAAAAAAAAAAAAAGATTTCTATGATTTTGATGCATGTGGCCAGTCAAGTTTATGATAAATAGGTTAGAGCTTTAACTCTGTTGCTGGGGGAAAGCAGCTTAGAAATACTGAGTTATTTACTGACAAACTATTCCAGGGTTTTGAATTCTTTCCCTGGGACCAAACTGGAGCATTCCTTCTTACTTTGCAACAGATTTTTATGGTTTCCGAAAGCATAAGCCTGCTCGCTCGGAAACAAATGTTTCAACAGACAAGCCAAGGATATCAGAGCAGTGACGACACCAGTAGCAGCCCCCATGGCGAATGATCCGCTGAAAATCCCAAGGAAAATCCCAATGGATTTGAACATTGCTGTGACATCAAAAGTATGACTGTTGTCTCCTGCGGGCTGGTAGGCGACGATCGAACTGCAGGAAAAACACAGACCACACGCTTCTTAGTAGGAGGCCTTGCCAGGGATCCAATGGACTGCAGGAATGGTTCAACGAACAAGCCAGCCCATGGAACCAAAATAACCCAGTGTTACAAGCAGTGCCTCTCTCCAGCTGGCACATCCTGCATGCTCTTTGCTCAGGAGTAGAATCAGAGAATCATAGACTCAGTCATGGGATCATAGGGTGGAAAGGGATCTTGAAGGTCATCTAGTCCAGCCCCATGCAGGAATCCTTATAGCATCCTGGACAGATGTCTGTCCTATCTTTTCTTGAAAACCAATGTGCACCCCTCCCAGCCAGGATTTATAATGGCATCATGCTTCTCAAACCTTTTGAAATTCAATTAATGTTTATGGGATTGGGAAGGTAGGGGGCAGGACGTACGATTTACGCATATGTGGGTGATAGATAACTCAGAAATATCTGTTTTTAATCTACTTTCATTAATCTGTAAACTAAATGATTAGCACAAGCCCAGCCTTAGTGTTTTTGCAGAAAAAAAGCTTTCATTAGATTTACTACTGTTGGTCTATTGACAGCCAGAAATCCTGGATGATCCACTACAAATTGCTCTAGTATCTCTCAACAAATGCCAATTTACCACCCAAGCACCCACCCTTGTTCTAATCGATCACTGAAAGTTCAGCAGAATGACCACGGATGAATTCAGCCAAGAACCTTTTCAGTTCAACAAAGCAGAATCCCAAGGAATTTTGATGTTGGCCATCAAAATTTTTCTTCTTCCTATCTAGAAGAAGTTTTCTACCTAATATCAGAAGATGGAAGACAACTACACTGAGGGGAGCTGAAACAGTAACATGCAATCATTCTAACTATCATTCTAAGATTCTGTGGTCACCATGGGAAAAAGGTGGCCTTAGATCAGACTCAGCAAGCCTTTCTTAGATTCAGCTGATGTTACTAGCAGCTTCTTCAGAAACCATAAAGATAGCTCTGTAGCCAAGCACAGTCCTACGGCAATTGCCCTCAGCCGTTTTGCTACTGCCAGATGCTCCAGGGATCACCTTCTACAAAGCACAGCCGCTTTGCAGATGCTTCATAACTTGGGCTGCCTCTGCTATCGCTTATTTTCATTTCAGAGGGAAAAAGACACACAACTTACGAAGACAGCACGATAGCAACTGCATCATTGAGAACACTCTCTCCAAACAGAAGGGCGTAGAGTTCAACATCCACTTGAAGTTCATGGAATATGGCGAGGACAGTCACTAGCCAAGAAAAAGGGACAAAGAATTTGCTGGAATCCTGAGCTAACCTATTGTATTATTAACCAGCATGATGTCAATCTTCAAAATATGACAGAGATGCAAACACATATGTAGGAAGACTCCCAAACATTTACAGGACAGTTCACCCCAGGTCCTCCATGGAACACTTTTCACAGATCCTTCCATAAATTTCTTTGAGATCAACTAATTCAATGGCAGACAGGGTTCATGGAATAAACTGCAGAGTTGAAGCAAGACTCCTCCTTACTATGGTTTAAGAGGAGTACAAACTTACTCAGGACTGTTAACAAGTCTCCTATAAGATATGAAGGCCATTACTATCCCATTCACCCTTGCTAGATCAATATCCTTTCAAGAAGCTCAGAGATACAATCTCTGCCAATGTTCTCCTCTTTCTCTTGTGACAAGTCTGGTTGGACTCCAAGATTACTAACACCCTCCTGATCTGCTTTGGGGCTTTCTGTAAGCATTCAGATGTGCATCTGATCTGATCTGATCCAGCAAAGTTCTTGCTGTATTTCAATCTCCTCATTCCAACATGGTTCCCCCATTTCTGCAGGGCACAGGGAAGCCAAAACAAGGAAAATCAACTCAGTTCCCAATGGCATTTTTGAGGAGGATCTTGGATCCAGCCTACAACGTACCAGGATCAGTAGCAGAGGCAATGGCACCAAAAAACAGGCAGTCAGTAAAATAGAAGTCTCCTCCAAGTTGTCCCATCACTTTCATCAACGCAACACAGCCATACATGATGGATCTGTTGAACACAGAGAGTTGGCACCATCGTCACAATGGCAATTTGGACCTCAGCATTCTTCATATACTGAGACTCAGGCAGCCTTGTGGACTTCACTCTTTCCTGCACCCACCCTTGACAGCCTATGAGTTTGTGGGAAGGACATTTGGATCACAATTCTAACAAACACAGTCCTCTACTGCAGAGTTCCTCAACTTTAGCAACTTTAAGGCGGGTGGACTTCAACTTCCAGAATTCCCCAGCCAGCAAGTTGCCAAGGTTGAGGAACCCTGCTCTACTGGGCTATGGTGCTCTTTCCTCCTCCCCCAGATGCAGCTGGGAGGAGTTGAGAAACGTTCACATCCTGTTCAATTCAAACCTATCATACCATGACATCTAAATCCAGACAAATTTAACGTTCAATATATAGTTCATGGAGATGAACCAACTTCAAATCAGTTTACAAAAGTGATTGGTTTGTACCATCAGAGTTAAGATTAACCAATCATAGTTCATTAATATGTTAAACTGTGTTTAATCTACAATGGAACAAAAGCTTCTCATTTTCTCCTGGGCACAATGACAGTGGACAAGAAGGGGAATCACAGAATTCTGATTGTTTATCAACACATCCAAACCCTCCTGGAATTTTTTAGCTTCTCATTTTTAAAAATGTGTGAGGGCTTTTAGACCTGGCATTGCTCTTGTCCTCTTTGTTATGATTTATGCTGTGGCTGTTTTGATTTAATTGTCGATTTTTATTGCCTTATTGTTGTCATGGCTTTAACCTCCGGCATTTCAGCTGCCCACAGACCTCTGTTTATTAGATAATATAAAAAGGATGTAAACACTGAATATTTTTAGAAGCAAAAAGGGCAAAGGGGGGGAAAACTCTCACCCTATCACAAAACAGGAAATTGCCGTTCCAAGAAATGCATAAGCTAAAATGGATCCAAGGTTCCGGAAGAAGTGCCGCTTGGAAAAAAAAGATAGTAACAAACATTATTTCAGTTACTTGAAATGCTAGGAATGATTGACCCAGAGTGAGCTGGCAATTTTTGACAAACAAAGGCCCACTTGCCCCTCCCTAAACATGCAATGTCCCCATTTGTTCAGGCTGTCTGTCTAGGGGGGAAAGAGCAAATAATAGGACAAGACTATTGACATATCTCTCTAACTCTTAAAGTGCCTTTCCAACTAAGATGTTTTACAAGTGTTACAATTATTATTTTTTCCCCAGCATGGGGGGAAAAACCTATGTTACGACAGGTAGCACTGCCTGTAGACACTTGGTGTCTGGTTACAAATTACTGATTTTGGAAAGATCAGAGATATTTTGGGTCTGGAAAAAAAAATATATAACAACCTACTATTTCTTTATCATTCAACTTTATCTTCCTGGCAAAAATCTTGCTCTTACTGTAGTACTGTTGCATTGAAAGGCAAAGTATAACAAGGCAATCAAAGATTTGGATTACAAGGGACAGACTTTAATGGATTTATTTTATCTTGCCTACATGCATTGGCCTACATTATAGCTGTACCGGATGGAAAGTGATACGTATAAAAGATTATTTCCCCTGTTTCAGACTGTTGCAAGGTAGAATCTTAAGCAAAAAGCATTCAAGGGAAAATAAGGAAGAACTGACTTCATCCAAAACAGACTGAAGCTGTAGTCAGAGGCAACAAGAGAGTATCAGGTGGACGATGTCTGGCTTATTATGTCTTTCTCAACAACTGTGTTGCTACCCTGGATATTTTAAAAGGATTAAAAGGAATAGAAACCTACCCTTTTTAAGCTATATCCAGCATAAAATATAATTGGAGGGAGCAAGATATTGAAGAACACTTCAGGATCAAAAGTTACCTGTAGGGTATTTAAAAAAGAAAGAAAGAGAGAGTCAAAAAAATCACAGAAGATTCAACTTCAATGGCTGCAGAGTAACACTTGTCATTTGATTAAATGCATTTTCATTCAAATCAAGAACTGGACCACCTTTTAGCACAACAGTTCTGCAGCCCAGAATTCTCAATTTTACAATCTGGAGGCCTGGGTCAATTTCACACTGAAGAAACTTCCGGAATCAAAACAGTGTGGATCTGGGATGCACAACTCAGCAGAGGAAGGTAATATGCCTGTGCCAAAGACATCTGGTGAATGTGGGAAAGAAGCTCCTTTTATTTAGCCTTGGAAGGACAGGATGAGAGTTAATTTGCCCCACCATGACTGCTGAATACATTACAAACAGCTGACCTCACACAACCTGGTACCACAGTTTGCCTATTCCAATGGCCAGATCCCCACAAGATGGCAAGCCACCACCCAGTAATTCACATCTTGACTTCAAGCAAGATGTGAACCCAGCCATTACGATATTGGATGAACAGGTGAAGCTGAGGAGAACTTTGGGGAACGGCAGTCAGTCAGGAGAACCACCAGCAGAGGAGCCTTCAGAAATTCTACAGCTTTTTTCTTTTTCCAGACTCCTCTAGAAATCTGGGGCAGAGCTAAGGCAGAAGTATGAATTTCAATCATGTTTTCTTAGAGCCTTTGGTCTAAAGAAGTGGAAAGTGGAAAACGGCACAGCTCACCTTCCGCAGCATCTCATTATCTTGAACATTGTTGAGCTCATGGGAACTGATTTCCCCCTTCAGGGTGTACTCGTAAAACTTCCCACTCAGGTTGACCAACAAAGTGGCGGGGCTTGTTTGCATCGGGCAGCTTAAGGTCACATTGTTGATATCGCTGGGAATGTGGATTCCGTAGCGAAGGATGACCCCCACCAGAACTCCTGTAAGGGAAGGGGGAAATACAGAGGGCTTCAGGTTTGGTAGAGCACTAGAGCAATCTTGAGAGGTTCAGAGCTCAGATCTATATATTCTCAGCACCCCCCTTTTCACCAACTATCGGAAGAACTCCCCCAGCAAAGCCGGGGTGAAACCAGAAGATGGCTCAGAGTTAGGCAGTGCCTAAATTGAATAAATTCAATGCAATCCCTCATCAAAATAGCTAAGAATTACATGGCTCCTGCTGTCACACTGTTATGACCTGTGCTCTTAATTGGATGGCTGAAGTGATACCTACTGCCACAGCTCAACAGCTCTTTCAAGGTCTTCCTCTCCGTCAGCCAGAATTCCACCTGTGGCCCTAATTTGCTGGAAACCCCCTCGACCTCTTCTTTGAGAGGCTGGTGGCACCCCACCCCACCCCACATGCAGAGCCACTGAAAACCTTTCAGAAGCTCCCAAACATCAAGTGCTTTCAACCACAGAAAATTCCTCCATCTTGGCTTTTTTGCCTTTATGGTCTGCCCCAAAAGCATCTCCCAGAGATAGAAAAGAATAGGCCTGTGGAAATAACAACTTCTTGTTTGAGACCAAGAGAAGTTTCGTTTGCCAAAGATTTAGAAACAAAAAACATGAAAGGTGCCGCCAAAGTATTTAATGTCCAGCCTTGGCATTATTTCAGTAATATGGACTTTGGAGCTCCGCTTCCTGGTTGAAGAGAAGGAAAGAAGTGAATTTGTAGGCCCCTTTAAGATGGGAAGAGGAAAGAACAAGACTGCAGCCTGTAAAAAGTTTGTTCAGTTAGATGTCAATATACAGTAATTGGGTTGTCCACTTAACTATCTTGTTTAAAGACAGCAGCTGTATCTGCAATAACGTGGAAAACGTAGGGCTCAGTGGCCCACTTGGCCAGCTCATGGATGAGCATAGTGTGTGAGCCCAGAAAATTGATTAATTCAGCACCCAAGTAAATCGTGGTGCACAAATCAAAACCCCTGCTCACTGTAAAAATCCACTACTACAGATTATAATGCAACTTGAAACAGTCACTCTCTTCAGTCAGTTTGAGGATGACAGCAGATAAATTTAAAATTGAAACTTTTCCCTTGTGTCTGTTGAGCAATTGGCAGTTTCACTGAAGCTTTTAAGCTATGTAGTTTCCCAACACCATTCTTGTGATCAGCCCTGGTTAAGAAAGAATGGGAGTGAATTTCTAAGATTTGCTAAGATGTGTTGGAAAGAAAAATCCAAGATGTGTACCTACATTACAGGGGTCTGCCATGCTGGAAAAAAAAAAATTAGCCAGGATAATCAAGAATAGGTCTGAGATGTGGGTTCAAATAGCTAGCCAATAACAAACATAGCAGTTCAGTTCATACAATACATGACTCTAAAATATAGCTTGTTAGCATATTTAGTGGTTCTCATGCTATCAGTTGTTAGCTGCTAATTGCTGTAGGATTTTCTCACAATTTTAAAATTTCTTTTTATAGTTATTGTATTGTATGCTGGTCTTTTATTGTGTTTGGCTTTGGACTGTAAATAAATTTTGATCAATCAATATTTGGTGGTTTATTTAACTAAATATGGCTAAGAAAACCACGCCCTAGCCACTGATATAAGCACAGCAAAGGAATAGTTTTTGGAAATATCCCAGTTCTATTTTCTATTAATAAAACAAGATTAAAAGTGAAAGTAGAGGATTGCTACTTTCAAGCACTGGGTGTTTTGCATATTAGAGCTGCAATCTCAACTCCTCCCTGAAAAAGCTGTTTTGAAGGAGGGCATCTGTGGTTTCCAGACAAACCACGCTGGACGTATAATTTATAACTCCCCCGGCCATACTGGCTGGGGATTATGGGAGCTGAAGTGCAAGATGCCTGGAGGGGGCTAAATCAAGGGAGACTGCTCACAGGGCCAGGTTTATGAAGTCCACTGGAGTTGAGCAGCCAATACATTAAAAATAATAAGCCTCCATCTTTTTAACAGGTCTGGCTCTCCCAAGAAGGGCCCGTCGAACATCACACAGCTAAGGCAGAGCTTTCATAGCCCCCCAACCCAAAAACAGGCAGTAACCGAAGCGATGGGTTGATGCCCCAAGTCCCTACATTTCCTCTACGGGGAGGGCAGGATCAAAAGAAAAACCTGCCTGGCATCTTTGACCATGGAGTCAAGGGCCTATTTCACACGAGACCCCCAGGCAACACAAAGTTGGGGCTTCACCCCTCATTTCCCAACCTGGGCAGGGTCCAGACGTGTCCCCCAAATTCACTTGGGGCGGTCACCAGGGGATGCTGGGAGCCCACCCACCATCCTGGCAGGGCGTTGCGCAACCCCCCTCCCTCTTCGCTGTGCAAAGCCTGACTGGGACGCCCCCGCCTTCCTCAGCCAGGGTTCCTCACCCGTGGCAACTTTAAGAGGGCTGGACTTCAACTCCCAGAATTCCCCAGCCAGCAGGCTTTAAGAGGGCTGGACTTCAACTCCCAGAATTCCCCAGCCAGCA